GCTGCCACCACCGTGCTTCATGGTGTGTTTGTGATGATGTGCAGAGTTCGGTTCCATTAAACACCTACGACATCTACGACGACGATTCAATGTAATAAAACCAATAAAAGAGGAAGACCTCTAAGGGACATGAACTCTTTCTATAGCTGACTTCTCACTAAAATGAAAGAAAAGCAGCAAATCTTTATATTTGAGAGGCTGAAATGTTAAATGTTTGTCCAAGTTAAAGCCTTTATTGACCACGTAGCAGATTACTCGACCAACTGTTGGTGAGTCTTCGGTCTGATGGGATTCTGGTCTAATTGCAGCGCATCAGGTTCTCCGCCGTGTTGAGTCTCGTCCGTGTAGAACACATTAGTCATCACTATTATTATCGCGTCCCGTATTGAACGGTCATCATCTTCATCCTGCATCTAATTAACCCATTAATTATAAATGAGGAGCTGCAGCGGTGAGCGTCTCTAATCGCGCTGATTGATCGGCTGCAGGCCGAACGCTTGAGTCAGAGCCGGAACCATTAGTCAATTAAATCTATCGGAGGAAAATTAGTCCGCCGCGGTTTTTATGGTCAGTTGGTCGTTTAGTGAGAATTAGAAATATTTAATGTTGCCTCCTGGAAGATTATATTTGGAGGCAGAATGGCTCGAAAGGCTGCAGATTAATCTGGAGTCTCATTGTGTTTGCCTTTATCTAAGATTCTGGTCAATTTCCGTCGTTTCTACGCAGATGATATTTAATTGTACATTCTTAAATCTTTACAAATTGTCCGTAATGATGCAAAAATGTCACTTTAAAGCTAATTTTGAATCACTTTAAACTAGTTTGATATCATTTGGAACGTTTTTTTTGATAATTCTTGAGTCAGTCGGGACAAGTTTCAAATCATTTTGGGCAGTTTTAGACTTTTAAAGGAAAATAAAACCTCCTGGATCAATAAATAAATGCAGCATGGACCAGAACCAGTGACCAGAGGAGCCATTTGTTGGAGATACATCCAGCATGGTGGAACATCTTTCTACATCTGATGAGCTTTAGAGAAAGTCTGTCGAAACTGTAACTAGGAAAATATCTAAAACATGGTTGTTCTGTTTCCGCTGAGGTGCAGGACTTTATACTGCATCCTAGAATGATCCACAGTGAAGAAAAATGAGCAGAAAACTGTTTTTTAAGGCAAATTATCTCATAAAAAGCAAATAAATAGCACTAAAAGGAGAAACTTTTACTTTAGAAAGAGATAAAAGTGCCAAATAAACGGAAATACATTTAAAAGTGAAGGAAGAACGAACGCTCAAACAAGCACAATTAAATTCTAAATAAAATACGTAAAATCTGTTTGATTTTAGGGGAGAAAACCATCATTAAATGCAGCTAAATGCTGCTAAATGCTGTTAAATGCAGGAAATGTCACATATTCTGGTTTCTTCTCCACACATGTACCACCGTCAGACTCATTGGAGCGTTTTTACGAGCTCCAGAACGAGCATCCAGGAATCATCAAATGAAGCAGCAGATCTGCTGTTTCAGGGCTTTTCTCGGCCTGCTGGGTTGTTTTCAGCGTGAAGGTCAAGGTCGGGGAGCTTCAGCCTGGAAACAGCAGCAGCCTGGAAACAGCAGCAGCCTGTCTCTCAGTTTGGACGTTTGAACGTTTCAGTGAGTTTCTGCAGCAGCTTTAATAATCCGGACGAAGCCGGCGACGCTCCGGACCGACGGGAAGCGTTTAATGGATCCTCGGAGCTTTAATCCTCTAATGAGGTGGAAGAGAAGCAGCGCTGTTCTTTTAACGGAGACACTTAACATCCACTCAGCTCTGTTTGATTCTCACATAAAAACCAGAACCGGACCGACAGCCTGGACCGGATCCAGAACCTTCACCCGTCACTTTATCGTCGTGACGAAATAAAACATCTCGAAGCTTTTCTCCTTCAACCTTTTCAGGAATCAGGACTTCAGCTACATAACAAGCTTCTGTTTGCATGTAAAAAATCCAAAAACAGGCCATTTGTTATATTTCTCTGGTTATTTATAAGAAAACTAGATTTTTACTCCATCACAAACATCTAAAACGCTTTTATTGACGCTGTCAGAGCCAAACGTTTTCAGTTTTTAAGGTGTTCTGGTGACCTGATGCAGTAAAACGCTGCTTTGTACGCCATTAAAAAACCATTGAAATGTCACTTCTATGCCGCCAGAAGCCAAAAACGCTGCGTTTTGTTTGTGACTTGCATCAAGACACCGTCAGAGACACATAAAAGCCTGAATGGTACTCTGGTGAATCACTGGATCGCAGGGTTTTTATAAAAATGCCACTATTACAGCTGAAATTCTGCTTTTTACGCCGTTAAAGGCCAAAAACATTCTGCGTTTCATGGCTCTCTGGTGACTCGCCGTAAAATTCTGCTTTTAATGGCATCAAAACACCTCAAATGCAGCTTTTCATGCTGTTAAAACCCAACAACGTGCCATTTTTGGTGACTAAACCAAGAGGTTTCAAAGTCAAAATCCCCCAAAACGCCACTTTTTATGCCATTAAAAGCACTTATAATACTGATGTTTAGCTGTCAGCAGCTAAAATTTTGACTTTCAGTGAAACTTTGCTTTTTATGGCGCCACAAACGCCTCTTTGTTTTCTGTCAGAAGCCAAAGACTCAGTGCTGTGTACGTTTTTTTACGCTGCCAGACTCATAAAAAGACACTTTTCATGTCATGAAAGTCCCAAAACATGGCACTTTTTTTACCTAAAGCGCCAGTTTTTAGCTGTCAAAAGTCAGAAAACCTTATGACTTATGGTAAAATGTTGCTTTTCTCACGGTTGAGAAACCCATAAAATGCCTTTTATTATTCTAAAACAAACCACTTTTAACATTTTTAACATCACCGCAGTGAGTTTAAGACCTCAAAAACGACTAAAATGATGCATTTCATGTCATCAAGAGCAGCTTAGATGGTGCTTTTTATGTCATTTCACAGTAAAACTCTGCTGACGTGGCGTTTTTTAGACCAAACAACGAGTCCGTTAATTCAGGAAGTAATGAGTCAGTGATGGAAATGGACGCTGCTACAAATATGTGAAATTAGCCGTCTAAAGGTTCTGCTGTTGGTCTGAACTGAATGAAAGCGTCGCCCAAACGTGGTTCTGGTTCCAGCTGAGAGCGTCACGTTGAAGTTAAAGGAAGTTTAAAGACGTTAAAACGATAAATGTCCAAGAAAATGTGCGATAAAAATGTTCAATTAGATGATAAATTCTGTGATGTTTACGCAACAGAACCGAACGCGTGGTTTGGTCTGAACACAAGCAGAACTTCCTGTGCACAAGGACTCATGTGAACGCTCTCTTCCAGAACCCATGTGCTACGACTGGGGCGAGTCCAGTGAGGCGGGCGTGTCGGTTCTGGAGGGGGAGTCCGGCTGGCTCTCCTGTCCGCTGTTCTCCCACCCGTCCGTCTACAACTACACGTCGACCCAGAGCGCCGGACACACCCTGTTCTGGTACCGACTGCTGCACGGCCAGGACCTGGAGGAACCCATCACGTCCAGGTAGAAACCCAACTTTTACCTGTTGGTTCTGGTTCCTCTGGACCGTCTGACTCTCTTCAGTCGCATGTTGTTGTTGGACTTTTGGTTGTGTAGAAATGTTGGAGGTTTCGTGTGCTCCGTCTCCTCCGACTCATCAGCCTGACGTGTGAACACACCGGATGTCTTCAGCATCATTTCTGTACACGCGATGTGGTTCAGTGGACCGATAAAGATCAGAAATGTGGTTTGAAGCTGTTACAATCTGTATTTGAACCCACACTGGGAACCACTGAACCAAACAGCAAATGAAAACCAAACAAAATTGAACAACGAACCCTAAACTCAGCCTCCCGGGTGAAGATCATGTGACCTACGCCACCTCCACGAGGCTCCGTTTAAGCTCGTTAAACCTTGACATTATCTATGTTGACGGTATTTAATTCTCTAATCTAACGAGAAACAGCCGCCGGGCAGGAACGACGACGACAGATTAAAGTAAACGTCCATCATGTGACGTCTGTTCGTCCTGCTCTTTGTTTAACTTGGATTTAATGAAACTGATTAAAGAAAATCCTGCTCTCTAAGTAAATAACCTGCTCGTTATCTCAGTCTCTTTCTCTAATGAGGGATGTAAATTTTAAACAATTTCCTTAAACGTTAATCGACCAAACACAATAGATATTAATCATTATTAATCTATAATGATTGGAGTGACTGGAACGTGGTCGACGTTTGTTCACATACGAAACCTAATAGTTGCTGTAAAATCAGTCTTGTTAGGAATTAAAATGACTGATAAATTAAGCACCGGGTTAATGAATTATAGATAAAATACGACCTCATCTGCTAAGCTCGTTAGCTTAAATCTTTAATCTTAAATCTGACCGGCTAACGTTACATGCTAATGCTAGCAGCAGTTCTATTGAGAAATGAAGGTACGGCAGATAAATACTGGAACATTTCTCATGATTTGTGAAGAAAACACAAGTCCTACAGCAATGAGACTCACACTGAGTGAAAGAGGACAAAATGTCCACATTTTTATGAATGAATTGTTTATATAAAGTAAAAACTGTGAGAAGTCAAAATTAAATGATTTACTCGAAATGACATCACACACGACTCACAAAAAGTCCTCAAACTTAAACTGCAGCTGCATAAAAACAGTAAAAGATATCAAAACACGGATTCAGAGGAATAATATTCAAAGCCTTGTGTGTCGTTTACACTTTGAATGAAGCTTCTACTCTAAAATCTGCAGGAGCTAAAGGGTTCCAAAGATGGCCGGTTTTGGCGGTTTCCCTGTCAGCTTCCCATTCATTTCAATGGGGAGCTTTAACGCAGTTTTTTGCAAATTTCGTACAAACTGTACGACGAATCGTCACCAAATGACGTAGCACAGCGTTCCCAATTGAGCTGCAGGGGGGATGAGTTAGGCACCAAAAATCACGTCGGAAGGAACTATAAGAATTTAATTTGATTTGCTGGAATCAGCTGGAACAGATGTGCACGAATACTGTCACAGCAACTTTAGCAAATCTGTCAGTTTGACCTCTAAACTATATTTATGCTCAAAGCACTTTATCGCCTTAAAGTTTGTAATCAGAGTCGTGCCGCTGACAAACAATCGGCTCCCAGCCTGTGTTAGCATCCGGAAAATACTAGCTTAGCATCGTTAGCATGAGCCTCAGGCAGCTAGCTGAAGCGGACAGATACTTTTTTTACTACTTGAAGCTGCAGAGCTCATCAACACAACAGCGGCGGAGCAGTAAACACAGAAGAGGCGCCACCTGGTGGAACAAGCAGGAACTACAGCTCATCTACGGTACATTTTCTGGTTCTCTGTCTGCAGACTTGTTAGTTCATAGATTATTATTGATTTAATTATTAACAGAAAAAGAACAAACATTGCACCTGAGAAATGTAAATATTACATTTTGCACGTGAAATGAAACTGATGTCGCACAAACTGTTTTAAAGTAATATCGCAAATGATAAAAGCGTTTAAACTTATAATTACGTTGAACCAGTTCAAGTCCAAACACCTTCTGCTGCCCAAAATAATGGAGTAATCCAGGAAGAGCTTTAATTCTTATTAAAGTAGCACCAGCGGTTATCTGATCAATGAGAGCGTATTGATCAACTGATCGATCTGGACGCTGCAGCTCCAGGTTTTATTCTGCATCCAGATGTGTTTAATGAGCGGCTGCCGGAGGATTTAATTGCACAATAAAGTGCGTTTTAATTGCGGTTGTGGTGCCTGTGAGCAGGTGAGTGTTTATTGTGAATGTTAAAGCCCAGACTCAGCTGGACGTTCTGCTGACTGGGACAAACCGAGAACCAGCCGACAGGTGCGCGGCGCTGACGGCCGGCAGCAGATGCAGCCGCTGGGCTTCCTGCAGCTCTGATTGAGACACTTTGACTGAATGATGAAGTGCGCTCTAACGATTTCCCTTCCAGACCAGGATCTACGGCGGTTTGAAGGCGAGCGGCTCGATTAGCGTCGCTCAGGACGTTTAGGGTTTGTTCTAATGTCGTTCTCATCGAGCCGTGTCTGATTTACGTTCATTCATTCGCTCTGAATGTGATTCTTCCTGCAGCTCGCGCCTCAGCAAAGACAGAGAGAGACTGTGGCTGCAGCCGGCAACCAGCGACGACACCGGACAGTACATCTGCATGCTGCGGTGAGGACAACACCTGCTGGTTCGGTCCGTTTAGGGCAGAGTTTAGAGGTTCTAGATGTCTGTGCAGCCACACAAGGACTGAATCAAGTCAAGTCTTAAATTGGAGATATTTTGAATGAAGTCTGGTGCCGTAAATGTCTGCGCAGCCACACAAGAAATGAATGAAACCAAAGCTAAGATTGGAGATATTTTACATTCTGGTAGCAAAGATGTCTTTGTAGCTATGAACAAAATGGATAAAGTCTTGGAGATATTTTTAATAAAGTTTGGCCCTTAAGATGTCTGTGCAGCAATGCAAAGACTGAATACAGGTAAGTCTAAAATTGGGGGAATTCTGAATGAAGTCTGGTATTACAGGAGTCCATGCAGCCACACAAGAAATTAATCAACTAAAGTCTAAAACTGGAACTATTTTGATTGAAGTCTGGTACCATTGATGACTTCGTAGCCACACAAGAAATGGACAAAGTCTTAATCTGGGAATATTGAAAATTAAGTCAGGTAGTGGAGATGTTTTTGTAGCCACATAAGAAGTTAATAAAGTCTGGTCTAAAATTTGAGATATTTTGAATGAAGTCTGGTGCCATAAATGTCTGTGCAGCCACACAAGAAATGAATGAAACCAAGGCTAAAATTGGAGATATTTTAAATTAGGTCTGGTAGCAACGATGTCTTTGTAGCTATGCACAAAAAAATCTAAAACTGGAACTATTTCGATTTGAGTCTGGTCTCATAGATGGGTGTGCAGCAACGCAAAGACTAAATAAAGTCCGGTCTAAAATTGAAGATATTTTGAATGAAGTCTGGTGCCAAAAATGTCAGGAAAGAAAAGTGGCAACATTTGGCAAAATTTTCAGTGAGTCTGGTTCTGTTTGATCAGAGGATGTTTGTTTTTGGCATCTGACTGCTTTAGACCTCCTGACTGTTGATTACCTGTCATCTTTTAAATTAATCGCCTCCTATTTTGATAAATTTGATTAATTATTTCCAGAAAAAAACTTTATAAATTCTGGTTTCTTCCCTCCTCTGTGATTCTGAAACCGCGGCGAACTGAACTTTAAAGCATTTTGAGGTGCATCGCGTGAGAAAAGCTGCAACAAAAATTTATTTACAAAGGAAAATGAAACCGGCATGTGGGTCAACAGACGCTGCAGAAGAAACCACAAAACGCCTTCATGACGGCAGCAGACGCCTCTCTGGAAAAAGAAGGAAGTGATTCAGTTTTCCGCCAATTCGTCACAGTTCAGAGTCAAACGGCGCGTTTGCTTCATCGCTGACGTCAAGATCCAGTTTGAAAACACTAAAACAGAATCAGGAGATAAATGATGTAATATTATTATACTACAGCAACAAAGAGACACAAAACAACTACAAACATTCGCAAAACAACCATAAAGAGACACAAAACGACACGAAACAACACAAAAGTAGCACAAAGTCGACACAAACCAACAACAGAGGAACTCAAAACAGCTACAAAGAGATGCAAAAACAACTAAAAAACTCAAAAGGACCCTAGAAAGACTCAAAACTACCACAAAATGACCCAAAACAACTACAGAACGACAAAAAGAAACTGCAAAAAACAACCACAAAGAGACAGAGCGACTACACAGAGACACACAACGACTAGAAATCTCAAAACAGCACAAAGACACAAAACAAACACAATAAAAACTCAAAGCCGCCACAGAGGCTCCACAGAATAAAAGTTCTTGTTAAATTTCTCAGATCAACTGTTTCTGCTGTGAAGCTCCAGAAATGTGCATCAGAGTCGAACGGCTGCTTCCTGGACTTTAGAGACGAACCATTTAAAAGTTTATTTAACTTTCACAACACCAGCGTCTCCGTCAGCGTGACTCGAGGTTCGCCTCTGTGATGGAAAGTGAGGTTTTGTCTCAGAAGAGGAGGAGGAAGCAGGATGTGAGTTCAGACCACGCAGGAAAGAAGAACGAGATCAGAATCAGCCTCATTGTTGAGCAATCTGTCAATCTGTCGCTGCTGCTGCTGCTGGTGGGAACCTGCAGCAGTAATGCGCCTCCTGGCAGACGCAGCTTCTCCATCCAGCCCATCTGATCTCCGTCCTGCTCTAAGTGCCATCAATCCGCCCACCGAGGGACGTTTCTCACCAAGCCTCCGGTTCTGGGACGAATCCTTCAAACGTGACTCAAGATATGTGCACCGCAATAAAAGCAGGAGTTAAAGAAACGGTGAAACCTCTGGCAGCTGAAGGTGCCAAACCGTTATTAGAGCGAATGAGCAACATAACTCAACAGTTCATAACCGTAAAACCCGGAACAAGACTTCTGGGAACTGAGAGCTAAAGACCAGAGGGGTCTCGTGTATCTGAGATCAATCTGAAGGCGACGGCAACGAGGCCGAGCGTGATGAAAGAGACGCAAAACAACCACAAAGAGACGCAAAACAACCACAAAGAGACGCAAAACAGATAAACAGAGACACAAAAAATACAAAAGAACGAGACAGAAAACTACAAAAAAAGACACAAACTGCTGCAAAGAGACAGAAAACAGCTGAAAGAGATGTAAGACGATTATAAAGAGACAGAATGTGACTACAGACGCAAAACGACTATAAAGGGACATACATTAACCATAAAGACACAAAAAACAACTTCATAGAAACGTAGAAAAACTACAAAGACAGCAGAAAGAGAAAAAACAATTACGACGAGAGACGGAAATCAGCTAGAAAGAGACAAAACAACTACAAACAGACAAAAAACAGCTGAAAAAGATGTAAAACGAGTACAAAGAGACAAAATATGACCACAAAAAGGTACAAAACAACTACAAAGATGCATAAACTACAAAGAGACACAACTACAAACAGCTGCAAAAAGCTACAAAAATACAAAAATCAGCTACAAAGAGACACAAAAAACTACAAAAACATTCAAAACAGCTAAAAACAATACAAATGACTCACAAAGACACACAGAACGACTACAATCAGACAAAAAACGAGTACAAAGAGACAAAATATGACCCCAAAGGCACAAAGATGCATAAACTACAAAGAGACACAACTACAAAGATACAAAAATCAGCTGCAAAGAGACCTGCTACTTATCAAACACGTATTATTTTACAGATCTCTGCTGGTATTTTCACCTCTTTTCTGTCTTTTTACAGTTTTTAAACACTTCACGACTTCTCCGTGTTTTTATTTTTAAACTCTTGCCGCCAGGTTTCCACCAGGTTGTGTTTTACGGTGTGTATCTGGGCTCTTCCTCTGCAGGACGCCGAGTCGGTCGCTCGTAGAGAAATGTCGCTTCTTTCTTTTTCGACGGCAGCAGAACCGTTCTGGTCTCCGGAGACCTGCAGCGGCTCTAACCGGATTGCGACCTGCTCAGGAAATAGTCTGATCCCGTTAGCTCCTGTTTACTCTGCGCTCTGGCCGGCGTCCAGCTGACCGATCACATCTGAACCTTCGTCCTCCTCATCCTCCTCCGGCGGCTCTTCAAGACGCCACTTTGGCTGATTAAGTGTCGCTCGGCCAAAGGATGGAAGCTGCAACGCTGCAGCTGATTCTGCGTGACGGAGCTGCAGCGTCGCATGTCGGACGGTCTGCAGCTCAAAAACATCCTCTGAGACGTTTTATCAGAATGAATCTAATCTGAAGCATTAAAAAGTCTCACGGAACCGATTTTATACAAACAGAACAAAGAAAGGCTCGTGTGACGCCTCCAGACGGGAACTTTATCAGATGTCAGAGCCGTAAAATGCAAAATATTTCAACAAAATGAACAAAAAAAACCCAAAAATTCTGTCAGAAAACGGTCTTTTTGTGCAGAAACGTGCACCAACGTTGACCTGAATCAGTAACGACACAGAACTTTAATTCCTGTTTTTACGTTTATCACAAAACCGCCAACAGCCGAGTTTTATTTGTTGTTTTTAACGTTCTGCTCCCGTCTCCCGCAGCAACAAGTCGTCCTGCAGTAAGATCGCCATGCGTCTGACGGTGCTGCGGCGGGACGAGGCGGTTCGCGGCGTCGACTGCGAGCCTCCGGTCGCCGTGGCGGCGGCCCAGGAGACCATCGCGCTGCAGGGCGGGGAGACGCTGGACTGCCCGGACCTGCAGGACGCCGCCAAGATGGCCGACGGCGAGCCCACGGTCACCTGGTACCATGTGAGACGACACCTCTCGGTATTATGTCCGTCCTAACCGCCCGCGTACTGCATGCGGAGAGTCTAGCTAGAGACACAACACACAGGAGTGGACACGCAACAGGAGGACACACAACGCATGCTGTGTGAACTGAGCCCTGGTTTGGGGAACTTAGGTGGTGGTCGGGTACCTTCTAGGGGGTGTTGTGAGTCTCCTTGTGTTCATGATGTGAGTCTTTGATGTTGTTTGGAGTCTTGTTGTGCTTGTTTTGTGTTTCTCTGTGGTCACTTTGTGTCCTGTTGTTGTTTTTGCATGTCTTTGTGGTAATTTTTGAGTTTTTATGTAGTTGTTCTGTGTCTTTGTGGTTGTTTTGCATCTCTGTTGTCATTTTGTGTGTCTTTTGTGGTTGTTTTGTACATTTTTATGGTTGTTTTGTGTCTTGTTGTGATTGTTTTATCTCGTTTTGTGGTTGTTTTGTGTCTCCCTGACGTCCAATCAGAGGTGTTAGTCGTCACTCTGAGCAGCCTGTTCAGTGTCTGTCTGAGGTCGAACACAAAGTTGTGAGGTTGTAGCAAAGAGCTGACACTCGGTGTGAAGAATCCTGACGTCGATGGAAGCTGCAGATTCGGCCGACCGTCATTACAGCATCGTAGAGGTTTGAAGCTCGGTCTGACCCGCTGTGTTCTGGTCCTTTGACTCCAGATGTGTGAACAGTATCCGTTCTGGAACAACGAGCGGCAGCAGAAAGGAGCCAGTCTGAGGGTCTTCGTCATGCTGGACTCCTACCAGGGCTTGTACTTCTGCACCGTTCACTACCAGAGGAGAGGAAAGACGCTCAACTTCACCAGGAGCATCAACGTCACTGCAGTCTGTGAGCCGACAGCACCGGCGCTGACCGATTCTGATCGCTCATCAGCACAACTGTGCCGCTGAAGTCTGATCTCTCTCCTCCCCACAGATCCACCTCATGTCTACAAACATCCGAGCATCCTCCAGCCAACTCAGGACCAAGTGTTCAGCGTCAAACCCGGTAGGTTCACAGATTTCTGTTATCATTAACCTCTGAACCCAACATCTGATTGGTATGTTTTGTTTAGTTTTTTTAAGAAATGCCAAAATTGCAGCTTTTATTGACCAGAAACTGTATTCCTACTGATATATGGGAAGTTGTTGTTTAAGCTCCAGAACACTGGTTTAGTTTGATTGAAGCTGTCATGGAGGTTGGTAGGAGC